TCCACACACACGCACACACACACTTAGACAAACGGCGTCCCAGATACAAGCAAGCTCCCACAATGATGCGATGCAACCGGTCTTATCACGACCAGACACATGCTCGGGGTGGATCAAATGCCATCGCAACTGAATTTGACAGGCTGAGCTGTGATAGTGTGGGGGTAGGCGAGGTACAAGTGAAGAAGCTAGACAACAGGACAGAGAGAGAGAGAGAGAGAGTAAAAGTCGGAATATGAAATGGAGTCAGCCTAACACGATCAGTCAGTTCGTAGTCAAGATCTGCGGCCAGTTTGCAGCTTGGCCGGTCTGTGTAAAAGTCGGTGTGTAGGTGACGGGTGTAGGGTGTGGTGAGAGTATGCGCTTGTCTGTTGTAGGGTGTATGCGAAGACGGGTGGAAGGCTGGTGATAAGACATTCGTGACCAGGTGGCTACCGGTGATCCTGGCCGCAGAGCTGGCCGGATCAAGGGCGTTTCGGAGCGAGGCAAAAGACACAATTAAACGATTTTAGACGAGACTCACGATGGAGACGGAAATACCCAGTTTTTTCAAATTAATTACGTTGCCGCTCAGTTGGTGAGGCAACAATCTAATTGAGAATAGAAAAGAAGACGAATCAATGCAAAGTAAGGAGGAGCTGGAGGAAAAGGAGGAGGGTAGAAAAGAAGAATACGACAAAAAGAAAGGTGGTGGTGTAGGTGGAGGAGGAGGATAAAGAGAAGAAGACCAAGTAGCAGGAAAAGGGTTGAAAAGGGGAAAGTGTGTAGGTATGAGTATCTACATTCATAAATGAGTAGGTTTTCGGGACTACCAGTAAATCAGATACATGAGTTGTGTTCACCCCATTTCATTTAAGGTACAGAAGGACTGGTAGTTGATTTTTCTCGCAATCATGTGAATATAACTGATATTTTCCATCAAATTTCCCATAGCCTTGCTTTCCCAAAAGGAGTTCACGTCCAGGCTGAGGTAAACTTCAGTTCCGACCTTATCAAAACCACAAACGGGAGTCGAACCATGCCAATGCAGCCTGTTAACCACTCCTACACATTGCCACGAACTTATATTTGCTATAGCAATCGACGACACTACTTTTTTTCACAAATGAGTAGATGTCCGAGACTATCTGATTGACTGGTAATCTCGAAAATCTACTCAGCAACGGAAAAAGTGATGTTTTCGACTGCTATAGCAAAGATAAGTTTGTTTCATTGACAATCTAACACAGAATGTGATATGGAAAATGCTTGACATTCGTTGAAAGCAAACTTATATTTTCGATAGCAATCGACGACATTACTTTTTGCGTAAATGAGTAGGTTTTTGAGACTACCAGTAAATCCTATTTTGCTTGATGTGATGAAGGACTGGACTTGCATACGAAACGAGGGTCTCCCAAATAAATTGAGGAAATGTGCTGAATAAAGTCGAAATATCGCACTGGTTGAGGAATTACTTGATGAACGAGTGCTCCAACATTCTGTACTCAACTGAGGTCGCATAAGGTGATGAAGGAGTTTCTATCCTTTTTCTTTGGATGGAGACCAATTTCGGCCCGAGATCACGACGCCAATGCCGCTTCATATGTTCATGAAATATCCAACCAATTTCCCTTCAAAGTTACTTCTTCAAAACGCTTGTTAAATCTTAAAGCAGCTTAAGTTGATTTAAGGACTGGTACCATGTTACCATGTCGATACAAAGTCACCTCTGCCACTAGCTCGTAGAGCGGATGTATCTCTAACCGCCGCCACGGCTCTTCTCAACTAACATTTATAATGGAATTGTTGATAGTTTCCATTGCATTAGATGACATTACATTCTTTCACATTTCGCGATAATTTTGTATTTCTTGGCCGCCTGAAGTGACTTGTGGACTGCAGGTAGAGTTTTTCCAGCATTTGTTTGAGTAGGCTAACATAAACTCTGTACACGAGTCCAACAATTCTAGCGAAATCGGTGACATAGTCCGTTTGCAAGAGTAGATGCGCCTATTCCTACTAATTTATGCTGCTAACCTAATCTGGCCGAGCGAGATGGCGGCTACACACAATTTTAGAGGACCCAACTTCTGAATAATCTCCCATAACGTGGTACATCCGCAGCCTGAAAACATCAGGGCACACACGATGCATTGGGCGTGTGTATGGTTGTATATCAGTTTTATCAAAAAATAAACAGAAGAAGGAGGAAAGTGAAGTCAGAAGACATCGCATTCTTGCTCTTTGGTGGGCTTCGTTGCATTTGAGCTCAATTAGGCGTATGTTCTGTCTGCTAAAGATCAAATAAACCCATAATGATCGGTTACTTTCACCTCGTTTAAATCACACTATCTTAACCCATTCGTTAGAATAAATTCAGCGCTATTTCGACCAGCTGACCGTTTCCATGTAACAAAGCCAACTATTTCCTTAATAAGCTGAAGAATAAAGTTATTCGGGCTACTACTCGTAGATTACTCGTTATTCCAGAAACGTATAGAAAATTGTCAACTTGACTTAGTTGCAACGGAGACTGCGCTAATCATCTCATATACAAAGGGATGTCTAAGTAATGTAACCAATCATCCTTTTATCCCTCCCAACACGTTGCTACAAACGATGCGTCTAGCCAAAAGCGAAGGAGACCCATTTGTGGGACCTAATTTTTTCATACTTTGCTTCGTCCTTCACATTCTTGCCCAATATCTCCCTCTACAAATTTTTTCACACTCTTCTCTACTCTCCTCGCTATTAGTCGCTATGGCTTTTTCTCACACTCTCGATACGCTCATTCTACTCCCATCTCCAATTCACATTCATCTACATGACAGGTTTGCATTTCAAATCGCATTTCATTTCAATTCCCCATTTATACTTTTTGTTCTCACAACCTCTTGTACCCTTGCATTGTCCCCTATTCTCATACCTCTGCAGACTCACGGTACATTGGGTTCACAAGGGTTAGAAAGACATGTTTACAAGAAACCAATCAATGTTGGCTATTTGCTTAACTTTCCAACCAACCATA